TTTTTTTTTTTTTTTTGTGGTCTTATTTTCTTTGTTGGTTTGTGGCTGACTATTCCTCTTAATTATTTGGTGCTGGGTTTTTCACAAACCTAGGTGTTAAAGAACTTGTTTGCTTCAATATGTAGAAAGAGAGGGAAGAAGAGAGGGAGGGGGAAGAAAGTTGAGAAATTGGTGTTGAAAGGTTGAAGAGGAAGATAGAGAGACAAGAAGAAAAAGGGATTGTGGGGGAAAAAAATGGCTTTAAAGGTAAATTTATAATTTTATTTTTACAATTATTCATTTTAAAGAGTGTGCATCATCAGGTGTCGAACTGATGGGTATATGAATTATTATCCTTTCTCAATATATATTTTTTTGATATTAAGTTGTACAATAAAAAATTATTTTTTTAATTTTATAATTCATTTCATTTACATACCATATAATTTAATTTTTTTATTAAAAAAATATTATTAAATTATTTAAAGTATTTTTTTAAAATAATTTTATACAACTACAATTAAAGAGATCTCTAATTGGTAAAAAGGAAATAATTTAGGAGCTGTCTAGGACTGCGTCTTAGGATGATACAATGAGGCACACTTAGGGGGCGTTGACAGTTGCTAGTGCCGTAAATATTTCATATTGAATACAAGTTGACAGGCAGTTCGAGGTTCAAAAGGGGGAATAAGTAATAACACGAAGTTGGACTTCGTCTGTGTGACGACTGCTTTGCTTGCTCGCCACCTACTCCCAGCCACGCCTACGGTATTTGCTTTTACTTTTTCTTAGGTGATGAAGTCATCGATCTCTGCTTTGAAGCTAAAATTTACAAATGGATTAAGAAAACAACTGGTCCCAGATTAACTTCAAACCACATTATGAGTCGATATGATGGAAACTATGACTTTATTTACCAATTAGAAAATGGAGTTGGTATCTTTTCTTTCTTCTTTTTTTTTTTTAAACAGTACAGAATTTGAGGGATGAGGATATTTGACAAATGTCAAAAACGATAGCAAACTTTACTAACCCGCTAAAGCTACAAGTTTGAGTTGGTATTTATTATTTAAATTAAATGCAAACAATAACTGCAATTAGATTGATATTGTGAACTACCTAATTTTGTTTTCTGAGCAGACAAAGTAATACCACAAAGAAAATCACCTCAGAAATATTCTACTTTTCTTTTGGGTATGTTCTGGATGGTCTAAAGTAGTTAAAAACCAAATTCGAATATGCCTATAGAAACCAAACCAATTGAAGTTTTGGGCCTTTTGGCACGTTTTTTACAGTAACCATCAGAGTTTGACATACAGCTAAGAGATGTGATTGACAGCAAAGATGAAGAGTCACAAGACATGCGAGCTTACATGGTCACAAGACATGCGAGCTTACATTAATCTTTTTTTTCTTAATTTTGTCTAATTTATTTAAGTAAATTTTTTTATTTTAGTACATATTAAACCTATATTTATTATATATTTTTATTATTAATTTATATAAAAAATAAAAATTCAATTAAATTTTATTAATTATCTAATTAATATATATAATATGAAAACTAAAGTCGTAAGGTTCTAAATAAAAGTTTTCTGCTTAAAGTTTCTACTTACTGTTATAAAAATTTGAACAAACTGCTAAAACAATATTACAAGAAGATTTTGGTACCATTTATTTAATAGATTTAATAAATAATTTTTTATGTTAAATAATAATTATATAATAAAAAATAACTCTCATATTTTTTTAATTTTTTATTATTTATTTTAAAATTTAAATTCAAAATTTTTAATTTAAAGTTTGAAACACAACCTCAAGTCACATTTAACGGTCGATGCACCAACTAAAACGATATCGGCCTTCACTCTAAAACCATATTTGAAGAGAAACCATAAAAAAAAAAAAAACCAAAACTTCTATTTAAACTAACACTTTAAACTAATTATTATCTTAGCCAACATCTTTTACCATTAGTTAAATGTTAATTTTAATCCCTCAATTTTAAAGTTTTATATAATTTTTATCCCTTAATTTTTTTGGGCACTTGTTTAGTCCCTTCATTATAAAAATGCATTTTTTTAATCATTCTATCAATTAATCCGTTAAGCCTATTTAAATCTGTATATTTTTAGTCGATGAATGAAAAATGTGCATATATTAAAAGTTGAATGATTAAAAATGTGTAGATTTAAATAAATTTAACAGATTAATTGATAAAAAAATTTAAAAAAATATATATTTTTTATAATTAAAGGATCAAAAACATATATAAAAAAGTTAAGTGATGAAAATTATGTAAAACTTTAAAGTTGAGGGATTAAAATTAATATTTAACCTTTACTATTTGAAATTCATAAAACATTTAAAAATTTACTATCAAACTCTTTATTTATATCTTAATTTTGTGATGAAACTTCCTATTTATACTATAATTTTATTGATAATTTAAGTTTTTTTACTAATTTTAAATTATAAAAAGTGTTAATTAAAATAAAAATTAATATTAAATATTAATCTAAAAAAATATATAAGATGTAAATAAAAGATTTGACTGAAAAAAAAATCTACTACCACGTCAGGTGATCGAACATCACTTCCTAGTTGGTTTACATTAATCCGAAACCCGACCAATCGTATTTAAAAAATGACACGAAACCTATCAAAATAATTAATTAATTCAGTGTCCAATCATAATTAAACAAAGAAGAAAAATAAGGATTAAACAACAAGATTCGGTGAGATGTAACGGTGGTGGTTTGATTTTTGTTTGGGTATTGCTTTCAGATAATTTTTCTATTTTTTAAATGGCATTGCTTTTGGATAACTACTCTTTGCGCGGGTTTTTGCGCTAAGGTCCCCTTCACTGGACCCCACTAATCCACTTGGATTAGCGTAAAGAGTTGGACTCCTACCCATTACGCCACGTCATCACCCCTCTTTCTACCCTTTTTAAGCCGATCCCAACACCCTCCTTTCCACCAACCTCATCTCTAAACATTGTTTCAATTTTTTTCTAAAGCCAAACACAGCATAATACAAAAATGGAGGGTCTAATTCCTTTCGTGTATAGAGCCATAGTTCAATACAGGAATGGGAAAGAAGAAGGTCTAATGGCATCATGGTTCAAGGAGTCGCCATCGGCTTCCTACATGCGACTTCCTGGTGATTCTGGAAGGTTTCAAATATCAGAAGGATTTTCAACGTCTTCACCATGTTCCATGGCTCCTCCTAACAGTAGCACTGCTCAGATCATTGTATCCACCGGAATTCAAACCCCGGTCCATCGACTTACCTCTCGCCGCCTTGTTGCTTGATCATGATCGTGACCCCTACAGGTGTTAGTGTTGAAGTGACCAACCAAGAAGCAAGATGATGGTGTGGTAACTTTATGTATGTGAATATATTGTATGTTTTTTTTTTTTTTTCAAAGTTTTTATTTTATCATAGCCTGGGGATAATAAGCGTATGAGAAAACCAAAGCGGGTCATACGCTCTGTATCCCTTAGTTTAATTTAGTGTCCTGGAATGTGAGGCTTCAAAAATGATTTAGGCTTGTGGGAGACCAAATGGATCCTCCTATACATCATAGTTGTGTGATCAATGATGTAAAATGTGAAGAAAATGAAGGAAATGCCCTTATGTAAATATTGGTGATATTGGTGGAATATTTCACGGCCAAAGGGTCGTATATATATTGTTACTAGTGGTAACTGTATATATATATTATATATATTTTTACAATATTCTGCTCATGCTTAATATGAAATGTATCTAATATGCTTTCATGACACTGTGATATACTGGGTCTTTCAGAAGTCAATGTATTGATAATCTAATTAAATCTTTCAAAAAGAGGGCTAAAAGAAGGCTAGAGGAGCTGGGTTTTGGATTGAGTTAGTATGTAAATTAATGGGTAATATTTTCCCTTGCTTAGGAAAGATATATAACAACCTAATTCAAACATATAAAAAAAAGGAATATGTATGAGAGAAAAGCGATTTATTGAACAAGTCAAGAATGAACTTATAATTTATGCTTTAATTTTTAAAACACGAAAAGTTTGTTCTCATATAATCAAGATCATTAAGTGGCAACTTTAGAATAATTAATTTCATAAGAAGGAACTTGATTAATTAATTGGACTTATCAAGCTGATTAGACATTTCTTGAATTACACTCAGCATATGTTGGTAACTGGCAAGACAATTCTTTTGTCAAAAATTTGCAATCAGCATGAGTCACGAGGATATATATGGCGAGTTGTTCCTTCCCTGGAAAGGTTTAATAAAAATATAATTGATAGAAGGTTTTGTTATTTTTTGTTTTTATGTGACTAATAAAAGGCGGCGAAGCTTGTAATTTTATGTTTAGATTTTTTTTTTTGAAAGAAACATGCTTTATAATTTAAATTATATTAAATTGTAAAATAAAAATTATTAGATATAAAAAAATCTTTAATATCAAAGAATTACTTTTTATTTTATGATTAATGTAATACAATTCAATATAATTTAAATTATATTATACTTTTTCGTTTTTAAAACAAACATAGACTTAAATTTGATTCATGCATTTATAAGAGCAACAGTTGAGCCATCACTTTCTGCAGCGTTATCATATATGGATAAATTTAAGGTACATAAAAGATGATGAAGAAATTGATGTTCATCTTTATTTGGATACAGGGATATGCGTTTAAATTATTTGAAAAAAAATTAATTTTGAAATATGTATAAATTGATCTAAAAATACTTAAAAAAATAAAAATTTTAAATAGTATGCTTAATAACTAGCAATTTTGTATTTTTTTTTTCTAACAGCCCTCCATTATGTTGTATGTTGTAAATTCAAGACTTTTTATTCCGTTGATTTATTAATTAGCAACAAATTTCATTTCTATTGAAAAGAAATTGCCATATTAATAACAACTTTACGTCCTTTTATTGATATTGACTATATGAAGAGTTGAAAAGTACAGCAATAAAGAATCTTTATACATCATTTTCATGTATGAGATTTTTTTAATAATATCTTCAAAATATCCAATAAAAATGACGCACATGTAATTTAATCTTCAATATATCTTACAGTATCAGGTACCATTGGTTATTTTTGAGTATTTTTTTCCAATTAATTAGTGAAAAGTACATAAATTGGTATGCGACGGCTCATTTATATCCTGTGACTGTTACTTACAGGAATCTAGCTACTGTGATATTCGTAAGATTATTCAAAAGTTTGTTGTAATTTTTTTTTTCTAGTCTTATATGGAATTACATTTTTTTAAAATGTTTGAATAACTTGGTAGACCAGAGATATGTTTTTCATAAATGCAAGGTGTTTCAGACTGATAAGCGAATTTAGGATTTGCATCATTCATTCCATTCCCTGTGCAGTTATGCAAGCCGAAGCGAGTTATGAAAGTCTTTTCTTATTATTTCAGTTTTAAAGGCAAGATATGATGCATTTTCAAGAGAATACAATCTGGGATATCATTGTGATTTCCAACATGTTGGCAATTGATAAAGCAGACTTCGTACCGTCAACGCAGCATCAATGCATGGAAAACAAGAGAACTGGAATTTGTAATAGGGAAAGCTATAGAAAATCACCTGGGAAAAACAAACTTGAAACAGTAGATTAGGGAACATTAGTGTTATGGGATACCAAACAAGAGCAAGTTGTGATCCTTGGATCTTGAAATTCTGAGATCATATCCGAACATACTCATGTCTCTCATAGGACATGCATGTATACCAGAGTCCTGGGATTTGCTATTTCTTTTGCCGATCGAGGGAAGAAAGATTGCAGAAGGAGAAGTGCACTAAGCAAAAGCCTTTGTTTTAATTTAATTGTTTCACTTATTAAATATGTATATGTATATCTACTTAATTAATTTTATATTTTATATTTTTAAAAGACAATAAATACTTTTATTTTAAATTAATTTGAAATTTTAACTAATAAGAGTTTAATCAAGTTGGTACCCACTAATTTAAAATTTGATTTGTGACGATAATGCAATACTAAAGTAGAAAAACTAAATAAGACTAAATAAACGTTGGAGAGACATAAGAGTAGTCTTTCCTTCTATAATCTTAGTTTTTCACACTCATTTTTTTTTTTCTTAATAAATATGTGACATGGTCTATTATTATACTCATCATAAGGCATTCATTAACTTATTTCGACATCATATCAAAACTATAAAATTAATCTAATAATTTCATAGGTCTTCACTTATTATAATCACTCTGTCCTTCTTCATTTCTTTGATGTTGGATCTTAATTTTTCACACTCACAAAGAAAACATATATACTTCAACCATGGAAACGGAGGTAATATCATCTAAGTAGAGAAAGTACTCATCAACATTATTTCACCATGTCTTTTTGGGAAATCTAAGTTAGTTTTGTACAGCGTACAAATCTCGGAGTTGAGAAATGTCTTCCGATGTTAATCTCACACTCTACGAGAAGTAAAATACTCAAAACGAGCCTTGAAATTGATTCAGCTTTGTCTATCCTCTGTGGTCAAATTGAATCCCAACCCAATGGAGATGAATGTACTCTCAGTGGTGATCTCTATGGTGGTGTTAATGTTGTTAGCATGTTCAAGGTGTGCTATTGGGTCGCTGCGTTGTGGGAATTGTGGCAAAATCCTAGTGCCATACCCGCTAAGTACCGGACCTGGATGTGGTGATCAGGCATATAAGATTAGGTGCACCGCTGGTACTCTATGGTTTGATACCGTGGGAAGTTCGTCTTACATGATCTCATCCATCAACACTGCGCGTCTTACATGATCTCATCCATCAACACTGCGACTCAACGGATAATCATCCGACCCCTTGGTTTTGTCCGCAACACTTGCATTTCAGGCGACATCAAAACAGAAGGGATCCAGCTCGATGACAATCTTCCATTCAACATCACTGGCAGCAACACCATCCTGCTCCTCAACTGTACAGACGCAATGCTGCACCTGCAGGTGCCTATAAACTGTTCTTCCACAAGCATATGCCACAGTTACATCAAGGACAATGTGGCAGCCGCAGAGTGTATGAAATCTCAATTGTGTTGTATGTTCAAAACGGGAGGGTCACAGACAGCATACGTAGTCAGGGTCCACTCCGGAGGGTGTTTGGCATATCAGAGTTTTGTGAACATCGACTCTGTTAGGCCACCGAACAAATGGCCTGATCCGGTAATGGAGTTAGAATGGGCGTTGCCACAGGAGCCCGTTAGCAAAACAGCATCAGATTGCAAGGACCTGTTGAACTCGAAATGCTTGGTGGATCCTATGAATCAGGGACAGAGTAGATGCTTTTGAAAAAGTGGATTTCAGTGGGATCCCATCGGAGGATTGTGTCAAAGTAAGTAACTTTTTTCTTCATGATTCTTGAACGAGAAATTAACAAACGAAAAAAATGTTATTATCTTCTTTTTGCTTAGGGACGAAATGCAAGCATGGGAAACACTGTGCTAGTAAAAAGAAGAGAGCACTGACTCATGGTATAAACCCTGTTAAGTTTTTGCTTAATTTTTTTGTTAAATTGTCAAATTGATATTGTTGCTGTGGAATTGACACTTTCTTTTTCCAGGAATTGTTGGTGTCCTGGGTGGAATTTCGGTTGTGGCCCTGGTTGGAATTCTAGCGTACAGGCATATCCAGAGGAGGAAGAAACAGGTGCACAAACATATGATAACGAAAACGCAAGAAATGTTGTTGAATGCCAAGAACAGTGGTGGGAAATCAGCTAGGATCTTTACCGAGGAAGAAATAACAAGAGCAACAAATAATTTTTCCAGAGAATATCTGATAGGATCCGGTGGGTTTGGCGAAGTGTTCAAGGGCACTCTGGAGAATGGAACCGTTACAGCGATCAAGCGGGCCAAGATGGGAAGCACCAAGGGCCTTGATCAAGTCGTCAATGAAGTCCGAATTCTCTGCCAGGTGAACCATCGGAATCTCGTGAGACTCCTCGGCTGCTGCATCGATCTCGAACAGCCTGTCTTGGTATATGAATTCATTCCCAACGGGACCCTGTTTGAGCACCTACATTGTCCCGGGAAATGGGCCCCACTCTCCTGGAACCACCGCCTCCGCATCGCCCACCAGACAGCAGAAGGGTTTGCCTACCTCCACTTTGCGGCAGTGCCGCCTATTTACCACCGTGATGTGAAATCGAGCAACATTTTGCTTGATGAAAAGCTCAATGTCAAAGTTTCTGACTTTGGACTCTCAAGGCTGGTGGAGAGATCCGCAGACGACACTCACACACAGAGTCACATTTGCACATCTGCTCAAGGAACCCTCGGGTATCTCGACCCGGAATACTACCGGAGCTTGCAGCTAACGGACAAGAGCGATGTTTACAGCTTCGGGGTTGTTCTGCTGGAGCTGTTGACTTCGATGAAGGCGGTTGATTTTAACAGAGATGATGAAGACGTGAACTTGGTGATTTATATGAAGAGGGTAATGGATGAAGAGAGGTTGATGGAATCATGGAAGTGATTGATCCAGTTCTGATACAGTCGGCGACAAATTTGGAATTGGAAATGATGAAAGCACTGGGGCTGCTGGCAGGGTCGTGTTTGGATGAGAAGAGACTGAATCGACCATCGATGAAAAAGGTCGCAGATGAGATTGAGTACATCATTGACATTGCCGCCGGTTCCATGGCAGAGCAGGTTTCGGAAGCTTATTAGTTGTCTTGTAAGGATTTTAGCATAGCCATGAACATGTACTGCTTCCAAGCCTGTGATGATTTTTAATTTTTGATACAGCACACAGAATAATAACACAGCATCCAAAATGAAATGAGACAATCAGTTTGAAGATGAGATTACAATTAAGAACAAAGTAAGCTTTCAAGTTTCAATCCAAATTGAATATTGAAACAGCATCCACATACATAAACAAAAACTCTTCCAACCTTCAGAAAATTGCACAAAAAGAAAGCAAGGTAAAAAAAAAACGAAAAGGTAATTAAAAAAAAAAAAGAACAAGAAGAAGAAAAGAAAAACATTTACATGTGAATCAAAAGGTACTGTTTTTATGTGCGAATATGTTCACTGTGAGCAGGGGAATCATTTGAGTCGTTTAAATTGATGCCAAGATCCAGAACATCACATGAGATGATATTGCAATCAGAAACCAGGAGAAGAATGCAAATGATACAGATATTTCAATCCTGCTGCATTGGGGAGAATCTTGTTCCTCGCAGAAATTCAAGTCTCTTGCGTACAGAACTATAACTCCTGCTGATGAACATGCAGCTGCAAGTGATAACAGTGCGGTAACCTGCATTTTTCAAGCTTTAACTTGTTGGGGAAACTACACCTACTTGAATGAAGAGGAGAAAAGTAGCCAAAAGACTCAAAATTGGTGCATTCAAATTCAATGTCCCAAGCCAGATAAATAAATTTCATCGAAGGTTCACTCTCACTCTCAGAATGGTGAAGAAGGGGTATCTATTTGTTAGTTTATTAGATTTTTTTCTCATTCTCTCCTGGAAGTAGAATGGCAGGTGTTATACTACCTTTACAAAAATAAGATAAACAGGGAACCAACATTACAAAGCAGAAAATAAATAATCTTATGACTACTGGGGGCATATAACTCCATAATAAAATGTCAGACTACTGAAAGGCCCGGAGAATGGCATACCATCCACCATGAACATCCTATCTGCAGTCAGAACATTCGAGCAGCAAGAGATATTTGTTTCAATTTGCTTTATCTATAGTTACCAAGTGAGAAGCACCACAAATTGGTGAGTACATTTCTTCATAGACAAGAATCTATCTTGATGTTCGTTACATGTGTTGATTGATAGATATTAAATGGTATCCTAAGAGAAAGTTTACTTACCCAATCACCAACAACAAATAGGCTCACTAGAATTGGATTCCGAAGGTCTCTCTTTCTCCTCAAAGCATAAACATCAAGACATGCAAGCCCAAAGCTCCAGAGCAGTTGAAGTCCCATAGAAGCAATCAAATAGCTGAAACAGAGATTACATAAAACCATCAGAAGTGTGCACAAAACGCACACAAAAACTTCTTCGGCATATATTTTAGACCACCAGACACCTACGTCCTCAACCCTGCCTCTTTCGAGTTCCCTTTTCCATGACAAAGGGAAGGGGCCAAAGGACTTCCATCAAAGGGAATGGAATGCAGTTCCCCAAACATGGCATTTCCCCAGTTAAACTTAACTATGAATGAAGTTTTTGGGCAAAACAGATTACCCCCTTAACAGAATTCATTCTCCTTGTAAAGTAGGAACTCATTCTTAAAATGAAAATTCCTAGACAACAAATTCCCGAACTAGTAAACAAATGACAGTTGATAAAAGCAGATAGGATTGCTCCCATTGCCATATATCGAACGCTAAGGATAAAAAAGCTTCAAAATTCCTACATGCCTAACAATTTCTAAGCAGGAACACTGAATCAGTGAATCTGAAAGGCGAAAGCTTTGGAAAGATTCACAATTGAAAATCAAAAACGTTAACTTTGGGCAATAGAAACAAACAATTACCAGAAAGCAGTGTAGGTAGAAAAACTAGAGGCGGAGGCCATGACTGCAATGGATGCGGCGGCGAAAGTACACTGGCCAATCCTCAATGCCAAGCTACTCCTCGACCCGGGACTCCCTAAAAGCTCCTTCATTTGGCTTCCTCTATCTCTCCCCCAGGGCCCCTACCCCTGAAAAAAAGAAGGGCCCTTGAAATTACCCAAAAGAAAGTGAAAGAAACCCTAAGATCTCAAATCGCCTTCTCCCCCGGAATCAGCTCCTTCCCATTACGATTCTCTGTAACCCCAACACATCCATGAGAAATTGGAGCTCGGAATCGTAGAATTAAAGAATCCTCGAAAACATGATCATGAAAGGATAGACTAATATATTTGCCGTGTAATGGTTGGAGAAGTGACAGGTGCTTGGCGTGTTTAGCAGTTGATGATGGTGTGATACTCTCCGTGCATTGCTCTA